TATTCAATCAGCAAAAGGAAAAATCGACTGAATCGTTAGCATTTGCGAAACAACTGTAGACTGTTCGCAAATATATACATATGCAAATATCTCATTTAAATAAAAGTCAACTGAACTTTCATTTAAAAACCTTACGTGGCACTTGCACAATGTCTGAATTATTCCAATATACTTTACTGCGAGCCAGCTAGCTATTGTTGTGACATTAAACAATTTTTTAAGGCAGTAAATTAATATCCTACGTACCGCAGTACAGAACCTTACTCTACTTACCTTTCGAAACTAAACCATGTCTAGATTTTATAACTTGCTAGACTATTCAAAATACAGCTGTTCCTCGTTTTGGCTGCAGTTTTACGGCGTAAGCAACTGGTCGGCAACTAATGTCAACGTATAATTTACTTCTTGAAATCTTAGATCTGCACTACCACTTAGTACAACCATTGCTGGTCGACATTAACTTGAACCATATCTTTACTAAATAGGTAAATCGGTTACGAAAGTGTATAAGAGGATCGCGTGATCAGCGTGGGTCAAGTGTAAGAGAAAGCTAGCTTGAAATATTAGTCTGATTACATAGGTCTCATTTACGAAAGAGTATATAGTTCAATACAATCTCCCATCAGTTCTCACGACATTGCTTTATTGGAATTTGGATAAATGGTTGCTGTTCCGGGCGAAGACCTTTAAGAACTGGTGCAGCTGTTTTATCAGACCAGTAGGCTAATAATCTGGCTTTTGGTAAAGATCTGCCAACTTAGAAAAAGTGGCCAGTGTCCCCGATCGGTGATCGGCAGATGAAAATTGCATTGTGCCCACGTCTGCACTTAACACCCTGTAGCTGAACTCTTCTTTATTTCTTTCCTCCTGAGGAGATTGAGCTAGTACGGGTACAAACCATAAAAGGAATCCGAATCGTCCCGGGGTCAAAATTCCCGCAAATAAGAGTTCAATTAAAAGTACTGCCCAAAGCTCCGCTGCAGCGCTTCGAGACCTTTGTCGAACGCAATTACTTAGGGGGCCACTAGAATGGTATAACATTGAAGCTGTACGGCATGTCATCGCAATTCCCCGGATATTTATGAGAGGCGAAATCTTTTTACAATCAGTTCAGAAGCTGGCCTCATGAACAGGGTCACCACATTGCAGAAAACGCAGTCTGTTTCCACTTCGCAGTGGATCGAAGCTCATGCGTGGAGCGCCTCTCCTGCTATTACTGCCATTCAATCGATTTCTGGGCATGTGAGAGTCAGTCTCATCAGACGCAATTTACTCATCGTTTCGTCCAGCCATGCTTTGATAGAATAAGCATCTACTTATGATGAAGTCTCTTTCCATCAGGTACAGAATCCATTTTGTCGATAAACTGTACGGAAAACTACTAGTGCTTGTCCAAAGTGAAATAAAACAGATTCAACTTCGAAACCAAAACTGGGACCCCGCTCTATTCATACCACAACGGGCCTCTCGATGACAAGTTTGTATCCCCTGTGCCGCACAGACCCCAGATTTCAGCGATGGTCATATGATCAAAGACATTGGTTGCATTCAGACCCGACATTGGAGTAGAGACACGGAAAAGCGATGCTAAGTGTACCGCTGTGCAGAAACGTCTACTCAAAGTGAATGTAAATTGCGTTTCATTAAAATACTGATCCCACTGCTTCCACCAGTAACATCCGCCCCGTTCAGTAAGCGGTACAACGTCGATTGTCTCCCTCGGGATATCACTATAGGCATAAGCTAAATACGACAACTGCATTAGAGCTCTAGGTCCTCAACTTCGGTGAGGTCGAGACCTGGGATAAGCGACGTATTTTCATCTGAAGTCCGTGTATAGCATCAGGTGCAACAACAAAGATTTGCTGCTCAACGAGATGAGTGATACCTTAAGACTGAAGGTCGCCAACGATAAGCTGAATCGACAAGATTTCCCTACAGACAAATTCAGCGCAAATTTAGACTGCAAGGCATACCATAGAAGTCTGAGGAACAAAGCTCAGAAAGCTATGCGACACAACATGAAACCAGAGTATCCCGGCAACGAGCCTCTTTCAGACAAAACTACTATCCCTAGTGCAGCAATCATGAAACGGCTGAGTGGAGCTGCGCGCATCGCAGGAGCACAAATTTTATTCTAATAAATGGAACAATACGAAGCAGGCTTGAATTTTTTCGAAACAATGCAATGCAGGTAACTGAAGGAAGCTACCACGACTTCGAGGTCAAAACCGCAATGTCAACCCTTACGCCAGGTGAAATCGTTACGGCCATCAGCGTATCTAACAACGATAGAGCGGTCATGGGCAACTTCTTACTACCGGAGGTTTTGAAATACACTGTCGTAATGACCACTACAAAATTTTCAAAATTCTACCATTGGTTCTGAAGGTTGAAGTATGTGAATAAAGAGATGCGGTCATCATTTCACTGTACTAGAGGAAAGGTTGGAATCCTGAATGCGGCAGTGATAAACCAATGTAGTTATTGTCATTTTGTCGCAAGATTTTCGTGCAGGTCCTGCTAGCAAGAAAGAACTCCAGATTGTCAGGTGTCATTCAGTTGAAGAATCCACCTACAGTAATGCCCATTGAATAATGAATGCAATATTCATGACAAATTTGCAGAGATAATTCAACCTGGCAGTTTTAACTCCCGTAATCAACTGACACTCTTCTAAGTTTCTAAAGCATTGACATCCAAGACATGCATCCAAATATTCTACGCGAGTTACACAATTGCATAATGTTTCAACCAGTACAGCTCTCTCAGACTAGTCACTAATGCCATATACAATGAAACAGAAGTTTATGCATCGCCTGGGAGTCATTCCCTGGATGCTTAAGCGCATGCCCCAACGTTGGTATGAGTCTTGGCACAAACATATCGGGATTACGCAGACGACAAAGAGCGCCTCCTTGCACCTTTTTCAGTTTTTCTTTGCTACTGTCTTAGCATCGAATAAACCAGGTTTGAAAGTCTCTTGACAGAAGACGCAAGTACAGCACCTGTGAAGGAGAGCAAATACAAAACATTTTAATGCCGATGGCCATACGGCAAAGATCTTGCGCGAATGTCCAACCGAAGTCGGAAATAGTCGACAAAACGCTGCAAGCCAGTATTCCGTCATCCCCGTCTTGCCATTTTGGCTGTGAACGCAACGCCATATTAGTGTTTGATCATCGAGCACCCTTTCAATGTCATACAAAGAGCCGACATTATTGCTGTAGAAAGCCGAGAATCAGTAGTTCATTTGTATTAAGCTTGACGATTTATGACTGTAATGAATTCAAGCAATAAATCACTTGTGCATCTGTCAAATTAGATTTTTGAAATATAAGTGGGAAAAATTTGCAATAGGCGGCGAAAGATTATAAGTCAACATTAAAATTAAAATCTAAGCATAAAGATGAGGCATGACACTTCTGAACAACCGTCCATGATAAACAAATACAAAAACATAGCGAACCATCAGACATTTTTTTGCAAAATTTAATGTATACTCGTTATTAATCAATATCCAATACCGAGACAAAACAAAAGTCCGAATAAGGCATTCACCGAATACATCATTTTCACATCACAGCTGACATGAGATACAAGGTGGCATAACAAATGCCAACAGCAAACAACATAATCCGCAGAACTGACAGCAGATCAGTGAAACATGGCGAAAATGATACGAACAGCCGCCGCAAACAACCAGGCAAAAAAGTTACAAAATCTGTGCCTAAGGGTATCTTGAACCAAGAAAGTCATAAACTAATTTTCGAGGAAGGTTCTGCAAATGCGCATATGTAATCCTAAAACAAAACCAATGCATTAGACAGCGAAAAAAGCTAAGGTGGACTTGTATACGAACTGAACAATCCATGATTTGAGATGCTTGACAGTTTCGGGTACTAACACAAATTCTGCATCAAAATTATTCACAAAGTCAGCAGCATCTCATGCTGAAAAGTCATGCTGATTTTCCCAAAATGAACTTTGAGAACTGTACTTTGAAAAGGCCCAACAATTAATGAATGGTTGAAGTCTTCACTTATGCTTCAGTCAAACAGTTTTGGTCATCATAAGGGCAAAAAATGCAAATTTTTAAAACAGGTTTAAATATTTGCTAATAAAGGATCCCATTAGGATGAATCATTAGAACGTTCTCGGTGTGTAGCGCAATCAATGGTAAAGATATCAGCACCACTGACTGCGAAGAAAAGACCTGGTCAGCATACCTATTAAAGAATCCCTGGATATTTTGCTGAACATGGGAAGGATGCGCAACAACCGCATCGGCTGCATTGATATATGTCCTTCTTGGAAATTCATAACCTTCCCATTAGTTTCAAGTGCTATCTTCGTCTTTCTGAATTTTAATTCACCCAGCTATCTCTAAAACCACCTGGCATCCCGTCCGTTTATCCATTATTTTAAAGTTCATTGAATTTTATTGCACATTTGCGCCTTTCTCTTTTACACCACTGGCTGTTTTGCAGTTTTTCTGTAGTTTACTGCTCAACTGTCTACTGCATGATTGTGTGGTGAAATATACATGATGCCGAAGCTTCTGCGCCGAAAGCCGAAACGTCGGGAAGAAAGACAAAGGAGAATAGTGTGTCAGAACCAAAGCCATTCGCCTTGAAAAAGATGAGAGATTATCAGATTGACTATTCCTGTGGATTAGTGAAAATATGTAAAAAAAAGGGTACATGTTTTACAAAGTGGAGCTGAAAAAATGAAACTGAATTGACACCGAACAAGAGCTTACAAACTGCATTTCTGCAATGGCCGAACTGTAATGGCCGTGGCACAACTCAAGGGATTTGCCCGATACGCACAATAAGCAGTGCCAGTATTTCTGCAACTCTTCCTGATTCGTTATTTTCGAAACACCACGTTCGCTCATGCAGCTAATGTGAAATGAGTGTCCGCATCTGTAAGCAAGAAATAAACAGAATTCGCGTCACATGACATATGAAGTTACTGAAAAAGAACGCATCTTCTAGTGGAGAGGTAAGAAAAACGTTGGTTGCAAAAGGCGCAGTGGTCGTCCATGCTTAAAACCGCACGCCCAGTAAACAACAACAGACGCTCACTGTTAAGCCATGATTCATTCTGAATGCACTTCATCAGTTCGCTAAGCATAGACTAAAAAATGCAGAGGAATGCAGGTGATTTATATTTTCAACATCTTTATATCAAATATACTATTTATAACAGATTTCTGCAACGGACAGTCTTTCCACTATTAAAAGTATACCTTAACAACATAGCTGGGTGATAAACTCTACCACATATAAACTCATCCCAAACAACAAATTTAAACACCACAAGAATACCTCATGAAAACTGACATTGCGGAAGATTTCCAGTAGCAGCGTTCCGATTTCGGAAAAACTCAGAAAGCGAAACATCGTTAACTAAAAGCAGATTTGTAAACGTTAGCATTGTCGAGACATAAGATTCAAGGACATCAAAGCAAACGACACAGAAGTAACGGCAACGAATTTATTTAAAGAACACAGATTCTAAATTAGGCCTGCGATCGACGTTTGAATATTGATATTCATTAAAGGTTAGCAGAATTTGTTGCAGAGCTCCTTGCTCTTCGAAGATCATTCGTCCATTTTATGGCTATAAATGTTAATAAATCATTATTGTCCATGGCTAAATGTCACTTAAACACATAGAGTGCATCAATGTGAACCAAATAATCTGAAGAGAGTAATGCCGTGCAGAGTGGAACATGTTGTTCATTGAGTATTTTAACTAATAGCGAAACCAAAGCTTGACAAGAAATGTACATGAATATATACCATAGCGAGAAAAGGTTGTCAACTAAAGCCACTAACAGGCTGACGTCTGACTTCACAATAAGGGACACATTTTGTATCCATGCATTGCAGGTGTTAAAACACAATAGAGCCATAGCCTGTTTAATGCTCTCTACAAGCACTTTAAAGCAAGTTAGCAGTGAGACTCGTGGCAAATTGAAGAATAGCATATATTCACTAACAGAGTATTTACAATATTATAATTGTGACGATATCTAATATTGGTAGGTTAACCTCATGCAGGCAAATAAATGCAATATTAAAGGTTTGTGAAAACCATCTAAGAACTTCAGTTCATGCAAAGCAACTGATAAATCCCATGCACTCCCCCCCGGAATTGCTAGGAAATTTGTCTTCGTAGACCCCACATTATACCAAGTAATAAATAGGTACCAAGAGCCCTTTTCTGGCCTATGCTTTTATATGACTCCACGGCTACAAGAAAGTCGCTTTGACAAGTCTAGAATAAATGTACGGCTTACTAATGATCTAAATTGCTGACTTTAATTCTTCACTGCACCCATATGCAGTAAAGTTCGTCAGTAGTCACAACAGCACAGATCCGCAGCATGCGCGATAATCATTAAAAATAACTGCCACTAATTTTAAAGACGAGATCAAGGTACATCAATGTTTAAAAACGCGAAACTGTACCGAAAATACCTAAGTCCAAGCCAAAGCACCCACACTCCCAAATAACAGTAATGCCAATATATTTTGCAGCAAAAGAGAGAAATGAGTTGATATACCAAAAGACCGTAAAACCTCAGTTAGGCAAGTAGAAACATGAAGGAACAAAGAAGTGGATGCTGATAGAACTGTTACACAATCATAAGGAAAAGAACTGTCAGTATTGCAAGAACTTTGCAACCGACAGTTCTCATTAGCAAGAAGAGGAAGCTATCGTCTTAATTTACCAGAGCGGGCTCCTGCACCACTTCCAGACCTTCATTCCAGCATGTGGTTCAATTTACTGTCATTTAAAATACTGTTTCATCATCATGGATCAATTCATTACGAAACATGTACGCAACAGACACTATTAAAAGGTATGTTAGAAGTAGAAAAACAAATTAAATCCTGGGAAACTAATCTTGCAAGATTGACAATCTGCGGGTCAAACAGTTGCTGCATATTATACACTATGCGCGCATGCATAACGCCAATGGCATCTACCTCCTTCCAAGACCTTAAAAAGTGTTTCAGTTCTCTGAATCTGCTGGGAGGAATAAAGGTTCAGGAGACATTGCAATAGTTAAAAGAAATTGCCACCCAAAACGACAACTGAACAACCACTCGCCAAAAAATTTCAAGAATAGGGAGATTCGACTTGCATTCATGGCGAGCACACAATGAGAACAAGTCAGACGAAGATGAAGTTAACTAAACAACAAGAATACTTTTACTGAGAAATCAAAGAATGAAAGCGGCCATTAACACATAAGGAAGTACCGTAATTAGATTGTCAGCACACTTTATGAACGAAGAAACATCATTCTTCGCAGTACGTAGTTACAGCTCGTCTGAGTGAGAGATTAGTACAAAATAAAAACTTCAACTGAATATTAAGTTTATCATCAAATGAGAAAACTCATTCTGGCTAAAATGAAGCAAGTAAAAAAACCTGCCTCCAGAATTTGCGCCAGAAGTGCAGGAGTGACAGAGTAAAGTAGGTCTGTCGCAAAAGCGAGCGAGCTACAGATCAGATCTAAAAAAATTTCGTTTCTAAAGAGGTTTGTGAAGTTCTTTACTACATACCTTGGCAATTGAAAGAGTCCTCGATCTTCCGTGAAATAAACTCAAGAGTGATAAAGAGCATTTCGTTTCTTCTGACTGATAGAGCTACACCGAGACCTCGCAGGAAACTGAACATCGCATTTAGCATATTCTCTGAAATATCACCAGATGACAAGATGATTAAAAACTCATGAAATGGTTCGTGATAAACAAAACGCACAATAGAGCATACAAACAAACCCCAAAAAGCAGAATAAACTTTAAAAATACGGCAATGTAATCATAACCGCGAGATTGCAGTACACAGTTTCAAAGTTAAGTCGAAAAATGTGCGAGCTGCAGCTGTCATCACAAGTCATCAGTATTTCGTTGTCGTTCTGAGTAATAAGAAGTTTGATTCTTTTTGTATCGCCGGAGTCGGTGCCTAGGCGGGGATATGAAATATCCGCAGAACAGGCGAACGGACTGTTGACAAATTAGAGATGAAAGAACGATTATAATAATTAACAGTCTGAATATAATTATATGAATTAATTTCGGTCTGCTTGCCTGATCTTAAGTTCAGTACGTAGTTTGTAGACCACACGTAGTCACCATAATCACCAAAGTTTATTGTTTCTTTATGCGAACAACATAAAACAAAGTGACCATTTTCATACTTATTTCAGGCAGTTCCTCTGTTTTGAAAGCTTCTTCAAGAACCTAAAAGATTACACAGTACAAACTTACATTAATATCTGCGCAAATAGCGCAAAGAAATAAAATGCGATAAAAAAATAAAGCGCAATAAAAGTTAATGACTGAAAAAATACATTAAATCACAGCATGATACCAGTACACCGAAAAAGAACAGGATCACGTCTTCTACAAAAAAACCAAGATGTGGCATAAATAATGTTTCTATTATCACAATTCTTTTTAATCTTAGAAAATATGTAGCTGAAGTGCATCTTAATTCGATGGCAATTTGAAAATTTTACACACAATAGTAGCAAATGCAAATAAAATTTTTTGTTGCCAATGATGCATTGACATCGTCACCTGAAGCCAGCAGAGTTTAAACAGGATAGTAACCCAAATTTAATTTACTATTATTGTTTGGTGCCAATGAATACAACCGGATCAACTAAAACGAAAAGCTGACAACCGTCTCTGTTTAATGGTGACGACAATATATAGGAAGTGTGAATACTGAAGCCAGCAGAAGTATGGGAGAACCGTCTGAAAAAACTGCATCCCATCGCTTAGAGGCACTTAGTCGTTACAGAAGCAGTAACCTGTTTGACTGTTGCATAGAGACTTAAAGTTTTTCTACTACAAGTGATCAGGAGGAAAGTTAAATTCGCCTATATTTGCTATATTGATATCTGAAACTCACAACTTTGTGAAGTTCTAGAAATTATTAATTTCTGTTTATCTGCTTCATCTGTTACTTAAAATCATAAGCTGCTGCGATTTCAGTGTTTATACAAATTAGTGTTAAGTCAAATCTTAATTTAATGTTAATTATAAAATTAGATTCAGTTTTAATCCCCGTCGATGTTTACTACATTTTCATTCATTGCAATAATTCTTTTCTAATTAACTGATGCTGAATTAAATAACTGGTCTATTGATCGTTTTTGAAGCATATTAAATAAAGGACATTGTCTAGGTGTTCACCGTTCGCAACGGAAGAAAATCTACACTGACGCTCGTACTTACTGACATAATGCTGTGATTATAATCATGCCACCCTGAACCGACTGACCCATCCCTGCACGAACAGCTTCATCTCAGCTGATTGGAATGAATATTACGTAAAACCGCAAATTTCACAACGAACATCATATGCAATCATTTTATATATGCACTCTCGATGCTCTGGTGTTTTCGCCAGGCGAATGTCTTGTACATATTTTGGACAAAGACATGATCTCACTGACGGCTACTGCTTCTTATTAATATCTGAAAACAATCACTGTAGACAAATGCGCTACAGATCATCGAACGGAGCACTCAGCGAGTGCCCTACTTTACAGGGTACAAAACTTTAGGGCACAAGGAAAGTCAAAAACTTTGGTGATGAGCAAATGTAACATACATCATAATTAAATCTTAAGAAACCAGCAAAATCGTAAAATAAAAAATTAATTCAATTGAATTGCGGTTAAACCAGTAGCGACAAAATGAGACTCGAATTCAACGGTTTAGATTGAACCCATTACTTAAAAGATCAGCAAAGATATGGCAATAACTAACATATCCGAGTAGAGAATATTTCGTTGGTGCGTAGACCTTTGGTTTTCTAGCTCTGAACCCAATAACTGCTGCGGACGAAAAACTTAATTCACGAAACTCTACCACCAACCTACCCTAAAGAAAGTCTCTGAGACACAGACCAAAACGTCGGTGTTTGGTCAATTATCAGACTGACTATATTATCTTTTGCGTAATATGTTATTAAGCTGCATTTTATACCATTTTTTTCAAAAATTGGCAAACTGATCGAGAAAGTAACGATAATTAAAATGAAACGAAAATGACGAAGACGAGCAATAGCAAAATCTTATGAGTATCAACTTGATTTACCTGCAGCTGCATTTTGAAAGCTTCTTCGTAATGATGCTTTTGCAGGTAAAGAAAAATAGAAGATTTGGCAGAGCCACTTTCGATACACAGAGGAAGGACGTCATCGACCGCATACAAGCCCTGACAAATATCCAAGAACTTCTGCAGCTCTTCGTCTTCGTGCAAGGCACAGAACAGTCTGACACACGATAAAACAAGTTTCGACTGTGAAGAGGAATCTTTCACAAACTCGTATTTACTTAAGACGTCAAAATTGAAAGGCTGGCATAAAAAATCACGGACATTACCCATACCTTAGTTTAACCATTTCCGCCAGCAAATTCAACAAAAGCTTCGAATCATTTTCCAGTCGACTAGAGATAGCTTCATAGCAATTTGCGTAAAATTTACACATTAGGAGTGCTGTTTCTTGCAGGTTCGAATCACATAATACCTGAAAAAGCAAAAACTGACGAAACTGGAACGAACTGTTGCGTAGGTTTGCATCCTAGAAATCAATTAGAACATTTATGACGTACTTGCAAGCTGAATCTGAAACAATTTTGCTTATCCTATCTATAGGCTCAGAAACTGAAGAATGCGATGTCAACTGCCACGTTGCTGTTCATCTCAATAGTAGGACGGAGCAACAAGAGGAGAGAAATCTAATAGGAGTAATCATAAATAATTAGGCAATTTTTTCTGTTCTATTGAAGATTACTGGAATTGAGGGAAACCTGGATTCCGTTTATTTAGCAAATACGAAACAGCATGAAAATTTAGTTACCGGAAGAAGTTCGAAAACTTTCTGCTTGATATGATATCGTTCGCTGTCTTTCAACTCCTTCGCTAAGGCAACTTTGAGATAACGAAGGAAACAGTTCTTAAGTAACTCGTTAGGAGACCGAACGAAAAAACTGTTGAAAATGAAAGCACACCTGCCAAAGAGGTCTCTTTAAAATGCAATTCAAGGCCTGGTTATGTTCACCGCGGTGGTCATAAATAACTTCACATACTCTATAGCTAAAATAATCGCATGATTAGGTACGGTTAGAAAAATGCAAGGTTATACTGATACTGCAAACAACAAAACAGATCAAACACTATCTTTCGAGGCTTCACTTCTACCTTCGTTCAACTATCTTTCTCAAGGTTTCCCGCCAATAATAGCGTAATGCAGAACAAAATGCGCCTGTACTAGCCAAAGCGCATAGCTCAACATGTCACGATCATTAACTGACAGCTACAACCGAGGCTACATACACTCCGGTCAGTGGTCAAATAACGCTTCAAGGCAGGTTTAAAATTGATCTACCGCTCGCAGGTCCAAGATTCACGACCACTTAGGCAAGGCATTTGGGAAGAAACATGCTAAACAAGATGTATGCCCTTAAATTCTTAGTATACTCTTCACGCACTTAACCTTAATAGTCAAGTAGCCGAGAACTAGCAGACTAAAACAAAGGGTTACGCCAAGGCGGAATACGGCGGCATGTGCGTTGATAACGAAGACTCGTAAGGAACCCTGAAACGGTAACACCTTCGGTTAAGGAAGCTATAAGTACTGACTGATAAGTTTAAGGCAAAATTTGCAAAAAACAGCATTCTAACTACAAAGTTGATCGAAAGAAAATTGGTGGGAACAATCTGTGATAATGGCTCATCACTACATGGGGAAGTATTTTAATCCTAACATCCAAACATCCATACAAAGAAGAGGACTGCTGGACAAAAAATAAGAACAACCGTAATGGGGGAACAAAATTTAGAGAAAAGATCATCACCTACCTCATGACTACACATGTTGAAACCTACAAAAAAGCATGATGACACTGTCCGTAATTCAGTAATTATCACAATCAATCTGAACTGAGGCTGACATTAGTAACTGCCCTAGCTTAAAACCGCTGCTTCGAATACTGTCACACAAACATAAAAGTTGGACGCTCATCACGCCTTTCAGTCGACACTTAGACTTCTACTTCAGGCTAACGTCCATTTAGGTTCAAATCACTGAAAAACCTATCTCAGTTCTAAGGTAAATAAGCAATGCGAAAGCCAAGATGGCAGAACCGCTTGAATAGCGAAACCGTGTTTCGAGTTGTTTCTGGCTATCTGCTATAAAGTGTGTCCCAAAAATATTTTTGCAACATGATGCAAGGTACCCTATCAAATGCTGGTTTATAAAACTGATTACTTATGTACATGTTTAGGAGAAGGATGAATCAGAAACGGAAACGAAATAAGTGTACATCTTTCAGGCCATGTAACAGAGAAACGTAAAACAGCACGTTCTTACAAATGGAACTTCTCACAGAAGCTTAGGAGCTGATCATCCGCAAAGCCGTTAAAGTCAAACTTTAGTAGTTCAATCAAAGCAAGTTCTACTTCTTCAGTTGCACTACATGTGATATTCGAGGAATAATGACACACCAAGACTTCCAACACCTAAAAGTTAAACGATCAGAAAACTCAAGCCTATGAATAAAAAAGAACGCACCTGCATCAGATGACTCTTTAGAACGATACATCGTTGCTCACAGTTGATAATCTGTTGGATAGTGAACAACACAAATGAATTCATCTCAAACAACTTTAAGAAAAGTTACGTTTTGAACAGAAGCTGATAAAATAACATACATTCCATTCCTTTTTGCGTGTCATGACACTAAGAAGCGCATTGT